AATTCTACAACTTCATTGCTTGTTTGTTTTAATTAATTACCATGCTTTGTTTCAGTTGCATTTAATTCATGACTTTAGGGGCTTTATGACCAAGTGAGCTTGTGTTTGCCTATTTTCTTTAATTTTCCCAAATAAATTGGTACCTTGACCATTTCTTTTATTTTGGAGGATAAATGAGTGATTTCACTTCATTGGGGCCCAATTGCAAGGGAGGTAACCTCTATCTCCTTGATTTTCATTTCTCCTATGTGATCCAACGTGCTAAGTGTGAATTGCATGTCTACGTTGCTTTCCTTGCCTTTCTTTAATTCCTTTCATTTATTTCATTTACTTTTGCCTTTTATTTAAGTATTTCATTATGGGGTATGTGTACACCTCTTGGCTTGTAATAGATAGGGCTTGGATGAGCATTCGATGAAGACCTGTTGAAGACATGTGCCTAGCTAGCAAATGTAATAGTTAGGGCTTCAATTGCTTTATGTGTCTTGCATGCTTAGTTGCTATGTGTTAATTTGCTTTATTAGGTTCTTGCATCTAGTCGAGCATGCTAATTGTTATGTGCTATGTGTTTATGGGTGTTTGGCATGTCTAATCGCTTTCCATAGCCATGAATGAATGTGATGGATGAATGTACGTCACCACACTAGTCCAATGCTAGTTGTGGCTCATTATTTCATTAGGAATTCATAGAAAAGGCTAGTCCAACGCTAGACCCAATAGGCCATCCCCTTTTGTTAGTGCATATTTGCATGTTCACTACATGTCATGCATTTTTCTTAGTTTTATCATTGGCATGCTCCTCGAACCCTTTTTTCCCCTCATTTTTAGGTTTTGCATCTCATACTAGTTATAGGGCTCATTTGCTTGAGAGTCCCCTTTCGATAAGGGAAACGAGCGAGTGTGGCTACTCGATAGCCTTAGCACGCTAGTTTTGCCTTCTAATCAAAGGGAAGATTAAGTCACAAAGTTAGGACTCCCCGTTCCCGTCTTGATGCATTCCTATAGGATTCATGCATTCTATTCATTCACTATCACATACACTTACTTTATATTCTAACCCTTTTTCCACATTCTCACTTCACACTACTTTCACACTACTTTCTACATTCTCTCTTCACACATGCACCTTATGGCATTTTTCACCTTATTATTCTTTACTTACTTTACCTTGCAAAGACATTTGCACACCTCCACTTATATCTTATTACTTTTATCATTTTTCTCACTTCACACAAACTCACACTTTCACATGGCATGCATTCCACTCATTTTACGTCATTTAGGATTACGTGTGACCTCTCCAAAGGATCATTATTGGGCTTCACAATTAATGTGATTGGCACCGCTCAACCTTTGAAGAGAAATTTCCCCCATGTCCCCCTAGGTCTAGGTTTTTGCATTCATATAGACATATCCAACACGCGATACATACCTTGGGTAGAAAAATTAGGAAAAATTGGTTTAAGTCACGCAACTAGCCTTGGCTAGGTCGAAGGGGTGCCTTGGATTTTTATCCTTGCCTTCCCCTTCGTCAAATGTGACCCCCGATCCCTCTTTTTGGTTACGTAGACCCAAAAGTTCTTTAAAAGGGTTTATTTACTTTTTTTATTCAAAAACAAAAAACCATTTTTTGGGTGACTTGGTACACTCTAACCCTATACCAAGTGGCGACTCCATTTTTGATACAAAAAACCCTTTTTGAACTTTATATGGCCAAACCGTCGCATTATCAAGTCCCATGGCCTTTTACTTTTCATTTACACACGTTCACATTCCATTACACCACTCACATCTCACACACACCACACTCATCATATCAAAAAGTGGGGCGCGATGCCAGCAATCTTGCCAGCAATCTTCAACTTACATTTCTGAGTCGATTATGGACGAGCTCTTCCATTGCTTACTTAGGTGAAAGCCCGAAAGGGCACCTCAAAAAAAAAAAAAACAAAACAAAACAAAAACAAAAAGGGTGGGGGCAACCTTGGTGAAAACCCGAAAGGGCGCCAAGGCAAGTTTTTTGCAACGAGCAAGCACGAGGAGGAACAGCTGGTGACTTGGTTCATTTGGATTTCTTCTCATTTTTGTCATACTTCTGCCAATATTAAATTCCAGAACAAAGATATCCAGAGATTTGAATATGACATCTGTTGGCCAAAACTGTGTCGCTTTGTAAAAATATTCTTTTCCAAATACATTCTTATGAAATTCATCTTTCCTCATTTGCTTGTATTCATGGCATTTTGTAGGATTAAGCACAGTTGGTGGTGTTTTACATTCTTTGGCATTCCTGCATAACATAGGAAATCATTTTGCATTAATTTTTCATGCATCATTCTTTTACCATTGGATTCGGATGAATGATAAACCCTAAGGTTTGTACAAGAATATGGGATTCAATCATCTTTTAAAGTGAGTAAAATGCAACCAAGCTGCTACATGGATTTGGTAACATGGTAAATGCGCACTTTATTGGTCTCCGGAATCGAAAGGTTTCAAAATTACAAGTTCAACCAAGGCAGATGCCGCAACAAAAGTTGGCAAAGGCATCAAAAGACTCATGTTTACACGATTCTCAAGGCAAGCCGGATCGAATGATGGTGGCAAGTCCATTATTTCTTCTTTTTTTCCAGGAACGTTGCATTTACAAACACAAACAACCACACTTCTTTTCGGACCTGAATCGACGTCAGAAAAAGCTCTCCAGTAAGCAAAGACGAAATGATAATTTGGCAAAGGTTGGGTCATAAGGAACAACATCAGCTATCGTTCTAGCCATAAAGATCCAAATCTCCCTCTTGGTACAAAAGTTTGAACTACTCTCAGGTAAGAACTCAATTCATTGTTTAAAAAATCCCGTGGGTCTATCCCATTTACATTTCTGTCCGGGTCTATCCCGTGGGTCTATCCAATTTAAATTTCTGTCCGGGTCTATCCCGTGGGTCTATCCCATTTAAATTTTTGTCCGGGTCTATCCCGTGGGTCTATCCCATTTACATTTCTGTCCGGGTCTATCCCGTGGGTCTATCCCATTTAAATTTTTGTCCGGGTCTATCCCGTGGGTCTATCCCAAATTTAAATTTCTGTTCGGGTCTATCCCGTGGGTCTATCCCAATTTTACATTTCTGTCCGGGTCTATCCCGTGGGTCTATCCCAATTTTAAAATTTCCTGTCTGGGGTCAATCCCCATCGCTTGAGTAATTCGCAGCCGAAGAATGCAGGTAGGTATTTGGTGTCTACTTCTTTGTCTCAAGTTTTTTCAAAACTCAGACAAAGAGGGGCAAACTGTAGACACCAAATTTTGAATAATTTGTATGTATCATCTATTTCATGATTTTCATTTTAGATTGCTTGCATTTTAGTTCGTTATTGTGTGTTTTGCACTATTAGTTGTTATGATATTTTAGTTTTATTCATTTTCGCCCTTTTAGTTGACCTATTTCATTTGCTATTCATTCTTATTTACTTTTAGTTTTAGTTTTTAGTTTTAGCTTTTAAGTTTAAGATTAGCATAGAGTTTTTTTAGAAAAAAAGAAAAGGAAAACATCAAAAATATGTTTTAGTGATTTTGTTTTTATTCAATGCTTTCTTGAAGGAAAAGTGAAAATGAAAAATCATAAAAAAAAAAGAAAAGAGAAAATTAAAGAAAAAGAGAAAAATGGAAAAATGAAAAAGAAATTGGAAAGTTGCATTGTGTTGTTTCTGGTTTATTTATTTTATTTAATGTTAATTAAGTTGTTGTTATTATTATTATTATTATTATTATTATCAATTTTGTTTAATTAATTAGTTGTAAAAAAAAAAAAAAAATGTCGCCGCTTGCACGCTGCATTTTTATTGCAGCGTGCAAAGGACGAAGGGATGCTGATCAAATGGCCAAGAAAAAGGGGGCTGGACGGGGATGATTGCTGACCATTAAACACAGGGTTTTGGGGGTGGTTAGCTCATATAAATAGGACAGAAAACAGTAGCCGCAAGGGGAGCTAAGGGGTGACGCGGGGAAATCTGGAAAAGAAGAAAAAACAGGAGGTTTTGGGAGAGCATCGACAGGCTAAAAGAAAAACTGAGAGCTAGGAGGGAGCTGACGGGAGGAAAGGGAAAAAACAGCAAAAGAAAAAGTTGGGGAATGACGGCTAGAAACCGGGGGGGGGGGGGAAACGCAGAGAGGACTGAATGCCTGGCTGTTGAAAAACAGAGGGGTGAGGGCAATTTCTACCAAGTATAGAAGCACGAGTTCTTCAACATGTGACAATAATGTGAGTACTTGAATAAAAAACCAAATGCTTTCGAGCTTTGGTCACTTGATGGGTGAAGCTCCTGTGCTCTTGGCTATCTTTGCTCTTGTTCTCAAGAATGGTGGGATGATAAATGCATAGCTGCTATTAATGAATCTTTTTACAAGACTTATAGAAACAAGATAATAGATTATACAGAAAGGAGAAAAGAATCAACTAACAACATTTTAACCTTACATATATGAGATCTGCCACACTAATAAAGAGAGAGAACAGACATGCCAGAAAATTAATTTTTTTACAAAAAATTAATAAATCAGAAAGATAAGCATCTTAATTACCGACCATCAGAGAGAAGATAGTCTGCTACAGAATGTGAAAAACATTTTTCTGTGGAAACGTCAAAACCAACAGCAGAACCCTCATGGCCAGTGATGATAAATCAGGCAGGGCAACTGATCCCTCCAAGTACAACAGAAATTGCCTCATACTTGGCCTAAGATTTGGTTCTGAATGAGAGCATAACAAGCCTAGTTTCAACACCAATTCTGCTTCCTCTTTCACATACTCAGCACCCAGCTTTTGATCAACCGCTTGGAGAATATCCCCTTCTTTCCAGAACAAAAATACCCAATCAACCAAAATGATACTCTCTTCTGGTACTGCTCGGGATCTATTGGCCTTCTTCCACATGCAACCTCTAGCAAAAAGGCCCCAAAAGCATATACATCAGTCTTCGTTGTGGCCCTCCCTGTCCTACTATACTCAGGGGCAAGGTCCAAAAGATCCCGCTACATGGGTGCTTTGAGGCAGAGTTCCATGATCGTATAGCCTTGCCAGGCCAAAATCTCCTAATCTTCCATTCAGTTCAGCATCCAACAATACATTACTGGCTTTTACATCTCTGTGGATCACAACTTTCTCCCATTCTTCATGTAGATAAAATAACCCTGATGCTACACCTTTGATGACTCGCAATCTTTGGCTCCAGCTGAGGATATACTTGGGCTGGTTATACAAAAATTTATCTAGACTACCATTGGGCATGAACTCGTATACCAAAAGTAACTCTCCTTTACGCCGACAATAACCCAAGAATGGTACTAAATTTCTATTGCGTAAGCGACCAATACTGATGATTTCTGCAACAAATTCTCTCATTCCCTGTCTTCCTTGATGAGAGACCTTCTTGACAGCAACCTCAACCTTGTTTGTTGTCAAAATGCCTTTGTAGACCCTGCCAAATCCGCCTTCTCCCAAGTCCCAACAGCTCTTTTTCTCTGAACCCCTCGGTGGCAATGTATAAATCCTTATACTTGAACCTGTGAGGTCCATAAGCAAGCTCCCATTCTTCCAGCACTTCTGCAAACTTCCACTTTCTCCATAGATAATAAGCTACTCCAGATGTTAGTATTATCAACATAAGTACAAAAATCAGGGGCAATCCCATGGTGAAAATTTTAGACACTTTCTTATGTCCAATCCGAGGTAGCTTGGGAGCCGAGAGAGATCAAGAGCTTGTGCAACGCCATTCATCCTGAAGCTCCATCCAAGTATAAAATTAGTTATTCCTGTTTTGAGTGGACTAGAGACTGCCGAAAAGCCAACATACATGGTCTGCTGTAAAATTGGCGAAAGATCATATTTCAAAGACAAAAGAGGAGTATGTGGTTTAGCAGCCTCCATTGGAGCTAATGTTACATCGATTCTCCTCTCCACCCCGTCGTATTCCACCCAAAGCTGCATCGGTTGACCGCTGATGAGAGTTAAGTTGTCAAATGAACTTTTGTTATTAGCTTGGTAACTCGCTGGTGCGGATGCCTTGGAGATCACAGAGTAAATATCAATACCAACATGGTTGTCATTGATATCTTCAATATCTTGGTCTTGGTAAATGTCAAGCTCCACAGCAAAAACGTGATTTGTTTGATTTCCATTGGTGTTTGTATCGAAGAGGCCAAGCAACGGATAGGAAGGCACTTGTGCAAGTTTTCTTCTTGGTGCAATCGCGAATGCCATTCCCGTACCAGTTACGCCTGGGACATCGGGTACTATAGCAAACACAAATTGGGTGGAAAAGGAGAAAGCTGAACTATTAGGTGTCGTCTTGAAGTTGATGGGATTAGGATAGAAGGCGTACCCAGTTTGTAATATGGTGCTGTTGGTTACCCGCAGGAGGCCATTTTTGGTGACTGTGGCTAATCCATCCAGGCTTAGATTTGATGATTGAAATCCTTGATAGATGAACCCAACATCATCAGAAGCTGCTGCAGCAACTGCGATGTGAACGAGAAAATAGGCTACGGCTGCTGTTACTGGTTTCAGCGACATGATTTAAGAGTTGGATGCTAATTGCCAAATTCTTCTTAATTTGGAAGCTTATATCATGCTATCTAGGGTTGCTATTTCTTCACACTCCTTTCTAATATCTCAAACAGACTTTGACTGCGGTAGTGGTCTTTTTTAACTGTGCGGTGGCTCTATATCGTCTCATTAAAAAAATATCATACTTTTTCTATTTTGGTCTGTTTCAAAATTCTTATTTGTTAATTTAAATGGAAAATATATTGTCTTGTGAACCCCTTGGTGCCAAATACTCCTTTGTGCAAATGTGCAATTATAAATAAAATTCTATTTTCCTTTAAGGAGCCATTCCCTTAATTTTTGTCTCTTAGTGATAGCAATGGTTCCTTTTAAGGAGCCTATTGTCTAACGGTCTGAAATACTTTTGTGTTTGGATTGCATTTTTCTAGATTTTTTATAGAAAAATTACTGTAGCGATTTGATATATGTGAGGTAAAAAGGTGATTGAAAAATGTGTTCACGGAAAACATAACAATTTTTCTTTGAAAGATGGCTGTCCAAACAAGGCTAACCATGAATTTAACTTGAGGGTATGATACCAAAAAAGGATTGTAGAATCTCCCAATGCTAGCATAAGTTTACTATGTGTTATAGATTTTTGGGATAGCTAAATGTTTGCAATGAGTACACCACTCTATTCAGTATTAAATAATTTTAAAAAGAATTATCTACAAATTGTTTTTAATTGCAATCATTAGAAGGTCATCTAATGGTGTAAAATAACATAATGAGTAAAACTATGCATAAAAAATTGTATAATAGCGCACCATTGAGTATTAGATGTATATTTTCATATATACAATAGACAAATACTGTATGCATAGTCAAACTAGAAAACGATTGTTGCTAACTTGTAATTCATATGGCTGTGAAAAGTTTAATGTTATACGAATAAAATTTGTTAGAAAGAAAATAAAAATAGCATTATAGATATTTTATTTTAATGTTGCATTATAGAAACGATGGTGGTATATATAAAAAATTTTAAAACTTTTGGAGGGCAATTGTAGGGTTAGAGAGAATATTATCAAATTTCAAGGGGACAAAAAATGGGCTAATTCCTTCATTTATTGTTCCCCAATTAACAGAGTTAGGCCACATGGGCATGCTCTGTATAAGATGATGAGCTTCTTGCAAGTCTCCTGCACGACCTAAAGATCAACCATACATCCACAATGTTCCAGTCTAGGAGTGAGAGAAAATTTTTGCTCCATTGCCTTGAAGAGTTCTCGTCCTTTATTCCGCCATGTGAGCACGCCAAGATTGCCCCAACAAATGTGATGCCATTGGGTGAAATGCCTACCCCCTGCATCAACAATTAGACAGGAAAGATGTGAATATCCGCCTAAAAGATTCGGAAGTAGCAGTTGGTCCTGTAACCAAGTGTGTCTCGGTAATTGATTTTGGGGCACGAGAAATATTTCTTGTGCATTTGATAAAATGATCCGTACAAAGGTCTTGAACTCAGTTAAAGCTAAATTCGTCACTGGTTATAAGCAAAACGCTAACATTTGGTTGAAAAGGTCAGAGCCTCGCTGCATTTACCATGGATAGCTAGACCCATAATCATAGTATTCCAAGAGCACAAATCTCTTCTTCTCCCAATCTCATGAAATAATCTCATCTCTGAATCTATTCTACCACACAAGCATGTTGTTTAAGTATCCGTTAGACTTGGCATAGGCCTCAATCCTCTGCCGAACTTCCAATGCTCCAAGATTTGCACAAGCTGAAAGAACACCAGCTATGGTCATTTGGTAGGGCCTCACTCCTCTCTTTCTCCATTTCCAGATGCAACGCCAATGCATCTGCGTACCCACCGTTCTGCGAAAACAAGCGAGAAGCTTCCCTCGTATCCCCACTCTTTGTGTGACCAGCGATCAAGGCATTCCAGGTGGGCACATCTCTTGTGGACATCCATCAAACTTTTTTTTTGCCCTTTTGATGATGGCTACCGGGCTGTATAGCCATCAGCCCTTTAAAAAAAATAAAAATAAAAATCCAGGTGTAAGCCAGGCAGTCCAGTAATTTTTCTAAAAAAAAAATTTTGATAGTAGCCCGATAGGCATAGTTTAATACTTCCCCTTTGTCAGATCAATATTTACACGATTTTTTTTTGGACAATAAACGGAGGAATTAGCCCAAAAAATGAGTCAACAATAGAAAAACTACTTTTATAGGCTATTCTGAAAATTCTATAAAACTGAGAGGTGCAACATGACTGTCTAGGACCGGGAGTGTCATGTTTCAAACTGTGTTTTAAAACTCGGACCGGACTGACCAGTTTGACCGGTAAAATCGGGAACCGATCAAATATCCGGTCCGAGTTATGCTAAAAAATTGGGTAAGTAAAAATTCGGTCAAAAATCGGGTTTGACCAGAAAAAAACCGGATTTTCCGGTTCAATCAAGCATTTAAAAAAAAAATCAAACTTTTTTAATATTATGTTTTGACCCCTAGATTGTTAAAAATTATTAATATACCTCAAATATTTCATACTTTATCAATATTGTCTTAAAGTTTGGTGTTATTTTTTAATTAAATCCATAATTTTAATTCTAAACTTGTTAATGCTCATTAAATAATATAAATTGCTACTTGATTGTTCTAATTTCTTTGTATTTTCTTGTTAAATATATTTGAAACATCAAATATATATATGAATATACCTTTATTAATATTAACATGTTATTAGGTATTTTATATATAATATTTTAATTTTTAAATAATTTTTATTTATGACATCATCCGATTCAACTCTTATCGAATTCGGTTGAATCCATTGATTCCTGACCCCTGAGCTTGACCAAGTCGATATTCGATCCGGTCCTGAAAACATAGGTTTCAAAGAGTTATGAAAAAGTTTGACATGACATTCACGAAACGATGTTTCAAAGAGCGTGCATACGTTAGACGTAGGAGAACGCTCAGAGATTTACTACAACACTTTGACCCCATGTGTCTTTTCTTATTTCCCCCAGTGAAGCTTTAGGGACAGAAAAGGGAACTAATGCAAAACAATTAGGAGCGTAAACAAATTTTAAAAAAGTTGAATGCCCTAGCATTCAAGATATTTTAACTATTTTGAAGAGATCGAAATTTTGTTCAATTTACTTCTTGAGTTGAACTCAAATAAATTTTTATTGAACATAACTTGAATTGAATTTGAGTAGGTTGAACATTTTACTCATAAATTTCACTTATATGTTAGACAGGTCGAACTCCCAATATTACCAGAGTAATTGGCACTTTGCTTCTTAAATTATAAATTGTTATCCGTTTAAATGCCATTTTGATGGCATTCCCAACACTAACAGAGTAATTGGCATATTCCATTAACTTACAAGTGTAACTAAAATAAACAAAATTTCATGGGGACAAAAATGTAAATTCATGAGACAAAAGAAAGCCTCTTAATCCGATTCTTTTACCTTATCTTCTTTTTCATTCATTTTTTTTTTATTCCTTATCTTCTTCTTCCTGGACTTGATCCTTCTTCATCTCAACTTACAAGGAAAGATCCCTTCTCCTGTTCTACTCCTTACCAATCCACTCAAAAATCTAACTCTCCCATCTTTTTAACTCAATTTTTAATGTTCAAAATATTACAAAAAATTTATGGCTCCGTATGAATTCAGCATTTTTTGAAAAATAATTTTTTCATCTACAATGTTACAGTAATACACAAACAAAAACAACTCCAAAAACACCATATCTAAACAATATATCAAAAACAATTTCAAATATACATTAAAATTTCGAATTTTCGATTTCAAATTATGCAAATTTGGTTCGAATTTGGTAATGGAGTTTTTGAAATCGGAAATAGAAATCAGATTTTTCGATTTCAATTTCATTTTATATTATATATATAAATATATATATATTTATATATATAATAATTTTTATTTCAATTTTTTTATAATATGTATATTAATATGTATATTTCAATTATGTATATTATATATATTATATCAATTGAAATAAATATATATTCATATATAAATATTAGATTTTGTTTAAGATATATTATATATATTTATATAAATATAAATATATTTATATATTTATATAAATTTATAAATATTTACATATATAAATTTATACATATAAATATATATATATTTATATATATTAATTTATATAAATATATATTTATAAATATTTATAAATTTATATAAATATAAATATATAAATATATATTTATAAATAGGGAAAATTGTAGAAACCTCCCTTGAAACTACTGACAGTTGCACTGAGCTCCCCTTTAAGTTCAGAAATGGCATATAGCACCCCTGAACAAGAACATTAAGTTGCAGAATCAGTCCAGGCAGCTTCAATTCCCATTAAAAAATTAGCTGTACAAGTGAGCTAAGAATTTTCTTCCAAAATTACCCTGATGTTGTTTGACAAGTAGTATTAACAAGGGAGGGGCTTTTTCATTAAGCATCAAGGAAGTTCAGGGGATATAAATGCAACAACATGCTTCCAGATGATGACCTGCAACAACTTCTTCAGTCTGAGAAACCAACGGCTACTTAACGGCTAATTGATGTAACTCCTTGCACTAGCTTATAAACGATGGTCAGTACTTCCATGAATACCAGAATCTGGACTCATGTATGCAGCAGCAATTTTTCAACTCAAAACACAGCTTGCTTGATACTCAGTTTGGCAGCTTCAAGTCATATTGCAGTCCCTAGAGAATGGCTTCTTCCAGCCACAGGAGAGCATCATGGAACTCTCCAACATCCTTCACAATACAAAACAAATATTACCGGTGCAATCGAAAGGCAACATTGAAGATTTCTGAGTCTGAAAACAACCCAACAAGTTATACTTTTTTTGTGCAAAATGCAAGTACTTCCAGTGGTATGAGGGTCCTGAAGAAGAAGAGGTTAACAGTAGAAATTATGACACCAATTCAGTGCTACAATCGCACCAACAGCAATAAAAGTTTATGGCTG